CCCCAAAACCCCAAAACCCCAAAACCCCAATATATTTATAAAAATAGAAAATAATTTAAGTTGTAACACATGAAACTATTGCACCAAGTGCAGAATAAGATGCGCTTAAAATCTTCTATGGTCTTGCCAATTTTAGTCTTGGTTCTTTTAACAGCAACTGAGTGTCAAGCAAGGTAAATAATTTGTCATTTCTCGATGAAATTTGATCATAAATATTATGTCAAAGTATAAATTTTGCTTATATAAATTCTTCCAAATCTTAAAAAAGTTTGCAAAGGTGGCATAAAAGATTATACAGCCGTATCCAAGACTCGCCCTCAGATACAGGGATTAGGGAGAATGTTGATAATTTGCCAAAGAATGAACCTACAATTAAGAGACTTTTGGATGGAGCAACTGAAGAAATAGATAAGATTAGAGAAGGAAATCAAATTAACGAAAGACCAATGATAGGAATCTTCACTCAGCCTTACAATGAAACTAATGACTACATCATGGCATCCTATGTGAAATTTGTTGAGTCTGCTGGAGCAAGAGCAGTTCCGATTGTCTGGAGAGACTCTGATGAAGACATTCTAGACTTAGTTCAAAATCTCAATGGTGCCTTGTTTCCTGGTGGATCAACTGCTTTAAGAAATGAAGATGGGTCTCTTACTGAGCATTCCAGAAAAATTGAACTTGTCCTCAATAAAGTCAAGGAATTGAATGACCAAGGGGTTTATTTTCCAATCTTGTCTATTTGCATGGGATTCCAAGAAATTGTTCAGAGCGAAGCTCCATACAAGGATACTGTTGAACTTAACAAGTTTGATTCAATGAATGTTGCGAACAACTTAACTCTTAAATATTCGATAGAAGATTCTAAACTGTTTAGCGAAATGCCTCAACACTTGATCAATGCTCTCCAGAATGAGAATATTACATACAACCATCACCACGATGGAGTATATCCTTCTGCTTTGAATAAATACCCTACTTTGAGAGAAGGCTACTATCTCCTAGGAACTTCTTATGATCTGAACGGTGTAGAATATGTTGCCTTCATTGAGAGCAAAGAGTACCCAATCTGGGGTCTTCAGTTCCACCCAGAAATGAACATCTTCATCTGGAAGCCTACATTAGAAGTGCCCCATTCCCAGGTCTCTATAGATTTCAGCCAGTTCATGGCCAACTTCTTCGTAAAACAATCCAAGAAGAACTTCAACAAGTTCGACTCTGAGGAAGAAGCCTTTGACCACATGATCGAGCACATCCCTGTTGAGCTCAACCCTCTCAAGAAGCACGAGGTGTACATCTTTCCAGGCTAAATCTTCCATTCACCAAAAATCTGGGAAGAAGATTTTCAACTACAAAATAATATACAGGGGTTTTGGGGTTTTGGGGTTTTGGGGTTTTGGGG